CTTGAGCCCAGGAGTTGGAGGTTGCTGTGAGCGTGATGCCATGACACTCTACCCAGGGGGATAGCTTGAGGCTCCGTCTCAAAAAAAAAAAAAAGAAAAAGGAATGCCACTGACACCATTGCTCACTCTGTATCTGATCTTTCTTCAAATCCTTTTGGTATACTTTTTATTTTATTTTATTTTATTTTAAGACAGGGTCTCAACTGTGTTCCCCATGCTGGTTTCAAACCTCTGGCCTCAACTCCTATCTCAGTGGCCTCCAGAGTTGGGGGCTTAACAGGTGTGAGCCATCTGCCCCCCTCCAAATATAATCCAGCTCTTCATCCTGCACGACCCCCATGACATCTGCTCATTTGGCCTCCCTTTAGCAAGAGTTCTGTTAGGACAGTTTAGCCAGAATCCTTGGTCTCCTTTAAATAGTCTTCCTTACTGTTCCTTGACAACTGTCATTGGGTAGTTTTTTTTTTAACAGTTAGAATAGTATTTTAAAACACTATTCAGTTGGGTAGTGGGCACCTCTGAGCCTGGGAGAGTCTCCTTTGGGGGTTTGGTGATACCCGCGGGAGGTAAAGTCTGATAGCATCCTGGACAGATGGAACCCTCTCCAGTCTGTCTGCACTGAAGGGTTGCTCAAATGCCTAAAACTGAATAAATAAACAAGCCAATGCAGCCTACTCAGCCCTCCCTTTGTAAACCCTTTCATTTCATCCTTTCTTTAAGGGACCGTGGGCTGTTTCTGCCCAGAAGGTGCCCCCCCTCCACCTAGGACACATTCCTCTGGTGAAGTTCTCTCACTTGCAGCCCATAGTTCCTGTATAAAGATGATCACCTGACCCAGACCTGGCCAATGTAAGTATTCCGCTCTCCTAACTTGACTGAGCTAGGAGTGGGCATGTGATCCACACCAGCCAATCAGACTTTTCCCAGACTAGCACTAACAGGGAAGGCTTTTGTTGGTGGGGAGACTTATCCTGGCAAGAAGCTTCTCTTTTGCTCACTGGGTGTGAGAACAAGGCCAGGCAAGGCAGGAGAGCCACAGTTCTGTCCTGTTTCTGCAGCAGCCCCCCCAACCCCGTGTAAAACCTCCCATCACATCATTCCCAGTTTCACCACTAGACACTAAAGCAAACCAGGAGAGACAAGATGGGCGCAAAACCACCAACACACAACCCGAGTGAGAACATCGCATGGAGGACCGGGGAGGGAGGAAGGCTGCAGGAAGCACGGGGTATCTGGCGTGGGCTTCTGCTTCTGCAGGTGAGGCAGAGGAATGGAAGGAGTCTTCGAGGACGGGCTGTGCCTTGGAGATTTAGGAAGTACATTTAACTTGCTTTGGTACCAAGTTGGGGGAAGATGGTATACAGGGAGGAGGTTCTGATTCCAGGAGACCTTGAACTTCAGGTGGGTGAGCCTGTCTTTATTCCTGTAGGTACTAGGGGGGCCACAGATTGTTTCCAGGCAAGGGAGTGGCTTGACAAAACGTACAGGAATCCAGAAGGGGAGGGAGACCGTTGAGGAGGCTGGACCAGAGCTGGGCCCTGGCAGAGATATTGAGAGAGATTGCAGGTAGTTAGAAAGGACTTGGTTGTGAGAGGGGGTGAGAAGCATCCAAACTGGCCCCTCAGTATTAGGCGGAGGGGGCAGTCATCAGCTGAGATTAGGGACTCAGGAGGACATGTAGTTTGGGGGAGGATGCAGAGCCCAGTTTGAACCTGCAGGAGCCTGTGGGTCACCCCAGTGGGGAGGAATTCATGGGACAAAGCTCCACCAAGTGGATGGGATGCTCCCACAGCAGGCAGCTCTCACTCTTTACCCAGTACCCCTCACTGACAGTGGGCATGAAGGGTCCATACCAAGGTCAGGGCATTGATAATGGAGAGGTTGTAGCCAAACTGAAAAGTCCCACCAATGCCAGCTGCACAGACGGTCAAGAGCAGGACCCTGCCCTGAATCTGAGGAGACAAAAGAGGGCACAGAGTGACCAATTAACAACCTCCACCCCCACCACACCTGCCAATCACAGCATTGCAATTAATTTTAATTAGGTGGTGATGTCCTCACTTTGCAGATGAGGAAACTGAGGCATAGATGGGCAGAATTACCTGGGCCACATGGCTGGCAGGTAGCAGAGGAACCCAAGCCTTCTGTTGAGGCCAGGCCCCCACTACGCCCTCAACCCAGCCATCCCTCACCAGCATTTTCCTGAGATATGGGGAGCAGTTCCTGGCCCTCATTGCTGGGCTCCCCGAGTGCATCTGCTGAGTTCTGGGAGGACAACCCCTGAGCTGAGGCCGCAGTAGAGTGAAGAAGCACCTCCAGCATGACAGGAGCCCCTAAACTCCAGTGACTTGGCCCAGGGAAATACTCTCTAGCAGAGTGGCTGGGCCCCAGGGATCTGGGCTGACCTTGCTTCTTTTGCCTCTCACCAGTGTGGTCTACGGTGAGGATAAGAAAAAGGGCCACATGGGTCCCACTGCTGTGTCTGCGCAGTACAGCAGTAGGTGGTCCTCATTCTTAGATGCAAAGAATGAGCACAACCCAAATTTAAAATAAAGTATTTCATGGGCTGTGGATAAGGGTCAAGGCACAGTGTAAACCACAAACCAGGATAGGAGCCCAGGCTGACAGTGATAAATGTAATGGCCCAGCAGGAAAGATTATCAACAAAATTTGCTTGCATCCAGCATGCCTCTGCCAGTTCCTTGCCAGAAGCCTGAAGCTTCCTCTCTCCTGCCTTCAGACACAGAGGAGGATCTGGAACTGATTCACCCAGATGTAATATGACAACTAGGTAATAGGTAACACAAGATGCAGCCCTCCATAGCAGTCCTGGACAACCAGATCAACACTTGCCTATCTCTGAAGCCCATTCCAGCCAGAGAGGATGCACATTGGTGTGAAGACATTTGGAAGCTAAACTGTGAGTTAAATGCCAAGTGTTTTAAAAAATTACTTTGTCTTAATACAACCTTATGTGTTCTGAAAAAAAGGAGGGGCCACATTTATACAGGTGCAGGGACTTGCGGTCACAGAGAGCAGCCAAGAGGCAGTGTAGGTATTGGGGTGCCTAGTCCCAGCACTGCCCTTACTCCCTTACCCTCTCTATGTCACTTCCTTATCTGGACCTAGAAATAATGATGCCTACCCCCAGCTGGGTACCTGTGAGCAACTTGCTCTTGGTACCATAAATCATCAGTCTCCAAACTTCTTGGCACCAGGGACTGGTTTCATGGAAGACAATCTTTCCACAGAAAAATTAAATCTCACAGGAGGAATCTGATAGGAGACGGAGCTCAGAGGTGATGCAAGCGATGGGGAGCAGCTATAAATACAGATGCCACTTTGCTCACCTCCTACTTTGCACCCCAGTTTCTAACAGGCCATGGGCCAGTAATGGTCCACAGCCTGGTGGCTGGGGACCACAGCCATAAAGGACAGCTTTTCATACTAGTGCAACACTCTTAGAGTGGAGGGAGAATTCCTCAAGACACCAAGACTTAAGGGACTCAGTACCCTGATGCCCCATCCCATTTAGTTGGTATTATTTTAGGGATTCTCAAAATTATTTATTTATAATTTTTTATTACAAAATGATATGTTTGGAAAATTCAATATTCTGTGTATACCAAAAGCTCTCCACTCCCCCAAAAGCATAACAATGAAGTGCTTCCCTCAGATATTTTTGTAGGCATTTGCAAAGTACTTGACTTTACAAAAATCAAACTGTTGATCTCTTCCCCCAATGTCATACCATCTTTCTTGTCCTGGGAAATTGTCCTGCAGATATAAAGTCCTGCAGTCCAATTTATTGTTATTTTGAATACTTAAAACATAAGTTTCATGAGAGAAGGATGTTTGGCTAAAAATGTTCTGAACAATTTCCAGAATCTGTGGACTATTTATTCACTCAGCAGTCAAATACTGAGTGTCTGCTCCAGCCAGGAAGTGTGCTGGGAGACAGGTGCAGCTGAGGAAGAAACAGAGGTGTATTCACCATTAGGTGAGACACTGTGCTTGGGGGTAGGGGAGGACAGGATGTGGCTTTGGAGGGCAGGGTCCTACTGAAGACCTTGCCACAGGCCTGAAGACAGGGAGTGACAGGGACCCTGGCTGCCTCCAAGTTCCTGTAATACCTAGTAACTCTTTTGTTAACTGGAAGTCGCAGAAAGAAGCCTGGTGAGAACCCCAGAGTCTGGTCCCACTGGAGCGGGGTCAGAATGAAAACTCCCCTCAGACAGTAGATCTGAAGGGATCAGCAAGATACAGTGCTTGATGACAGCTGAGCCCATGTGGCAAGGGATGCTGACACGTCTCCAAGACCACACAAAATGATTTAATTCAAGAGCATGGAAGGCCAGGTGCCATGGCTCACACCTGTATTGCTAACATTCTGGGAGGCCAAGGCAGGAGGATCCCTTGTGTTCAGGAGTTGGAGACCAACCTGAGCAAGAGTGAGACCTTGTCTCCTAAAAAATTCCCCAGGCATTGTGGCAGGTGTCTGTAGTCCCAGCTACTGAGGAGGCTGAGGCAAGAAGATTACTTGAACCCAGGAGTTAGAAGTTGCTGGGAGCTAGGCTGATGCCAGGGCACTCTAGTCTGGACAACAGAGTGAGACTCTGCTCCCAACCCCCTCCAACAACAACAAAAAGCTTATAGAGAACCATGCCTGGTCATGGTAAGCATTCGAATATTAGCTATGATCGTGATTATTTTGACTCAGTGAACAAATATCTATTGCTCCCTACTGTGGTCAATAAACCTACTATTCTAGGTCCTGAGGACACAGCAGAGAACAAAAAGACAAAATCTGTGACCTCAAAGAGCTTCCCTTCCAGTGGGGCAAGATAAGCATAGTCAGCTGGTGCTACAGACTTAAAGCAGGGAAGGGGATAGGTAGTATAGGAACAGGGTGGTGAGGCAGGACTCCAAGTCAGAGCCAAGAGGGAGGAGAGAGGTGAGGGTGGGAAACAGTCACAGGACTGGGAGAGAGGCCAGGACTGCAGTGCTGTGGGGAGGTACTGCCTCACCGGTACGGTGACCTCCAGGAGGACCCAAGGACTACGCAGGCATCGCTGGGATGCCCCGGGCCCGGTAACCCTGCGATGGCTCACAGGTCATCCCTGGGCATGAACACCTATTACGCTCCTCCGATAACACAACCTAACTCCGTTGTACGCACAAGCACAGTACTTTTATACGTTTGATACCTTCTCTTAACCCTTCAGGGCGGCTGTGCCTGGCAGTTCATGGGGGTTTGTAATCTCTCATCTGAAATGCCCAGCCTGGAAAATTTCAGAATTCAGAACTTTTCCGACCGCGGGAGGGCATCGGGCATTCGGAGGAAAAGGGACCCATCAGGATCTTCTGTCCCAGGGAAATCCCGGTAGTCAGCGGCGCGCCGCAGACTGTAGGCAGGGCGCATGCGCGCGGAGGGAAGGGCGGAGCGAGTCCGAGCTGGGCGTGAGGACCTGGCGCACGCGTAGAGAGCGTTTTAGAAGCGCGGCTCAGTCCAAGCGGGCTCAGACACGCAAGCGCAGTGGGTGGTGCGGGAGGTCTGACAAACTGAGGGAACACTCAGTACCTACTGGTGCCAAGCCGAGCGGACAGAACTCAAGTGCAAGGACAGTGGGGCTCAGAGCGGCCCGACTATAGGCGGAGGGCAGCTGAGGCGCATGCGCAGGCCCACAGGGTTTAAGTGGGGGAGGGGTTGGGGATGCGCAGCTGCTAGGGGTTCACCTGGGTCCGAGGCCGTAAGGGTGGCTGCTCATTCTCCATCCGGCCCTTTCCGCAGCCCTGAAGCTGAATGGCCACTCACTCCGTATTCAGCCAAAGCCTAGGGCTCATCTCTGCAGACCAGGAGGGACCTCTGGTCCGAGGTCATCTCGGCCGAGCCCCTGCATTCCAGGTCCCGGCAAGCGACGCTGTTCGTCGTGCTCCCGAGTCCTCCTCCCCCTCTGCCGCCTGAACTGAATCTCTACCGGCGCCCCCCGCTCGCTGTCCGACACCGACCTGTGCGTTCCCCCACGCTCGGCCTCCTTTTCTCCCACCTGCTGCCCCTGCCCGGGAGCTCTTGGATGGCCGAGCCGGTGATTCTGCACAGACACCCCTCACCCCGACCCCGCCACAAACGGCCTCAGTTCAGACGTCCCCATTTTTTCCCCAGAGGACGGACAGAATTAGGAGGGACCGCATTGCCGACCCACCAGTTTCTGGAGCGCCGTCATCTCTCCGTCCTGGTCAGAGGGAGTGACTTGGCGAAATGCAGAGGGGGTTGCCGCCTGGGGACATATGGTGGGAGAGGCCAGTCCCGCCTACCGACTGGAAGTCTTGAGACGGGATTAATCTTTTATTCCTAGGTCTGGTGCGATTCCTATGCCAGTAATCCTCGCACTGTGGGAGGTTGAGGTGAACAGATCATCTGAGCATAGGAGTTAGAGAGCAGCCTCAGCAAGAGAGAGACCCCCATCTCTAAAAATAGTTGGACTTTGTGGCCGGAGCCTCTAGTCCCAGCTACTTGGGAGGCTGAGGCAAGAGAATCACTTGAGCCCCAGAGTTTAAGGTTGCTGTGAACTGTGACGCCAGGGCAAAAACAAAACAAAAAATCTTATTCCTCAGGGCTTCTGGGCTCTGCATGGATTCCAGGAGGTGTACAAAGACCCGCTGAAATCAGACTTGATGAAGATGCTATTTGTGGTCTTAAAAACACAGAGCTGGAATTGACCTTAGAAAGTCATCTGAGCAAAATCTGTGATAGGGGGGCCCATATACCGAGGTTGACAGATTAAAACCCAGCCTCGGCCAAACTGCAACAAAAAAATAGCCAGGCATTGTGGTGGGCGCCTGTAGTCCCAGCTATTCGGGAGGCTGAGGCAAGAGAATCGCTTGAGCCCAAGAGTTGGAGGTTGCTGTGAGCTGTGACGGCACCACACTCTACACGCCACAGCACTCTACCGAGGGAGATAAAGTGAGATTGTCTAAAAAAAAAATAATAAATAAATGTAAGGTCTCTCAATAGCCTCAAACAAACCTCCCTCCTGCCTCTGTGTCCTCACTTGCCCCTCCTCGTTTGTTCGTGCCTAATTAGAAGGTTTTGTCCTAATGCTGTGCTCTCTTGGGGCCTGGGCAATTCATTTAGTTTTTTGCTTCAAGCCCCATGCTGGACCCTCTTTTAGGCTTTTTTAAGGTCCTGGGTACCTTAAGTTCTCTGAGAAAAAATAGACATGCCTGACCCTTCTCCCTCTTTCTTCTTTTTTCGATTTTCGCTCCTGGGTTTTGGGAGACAAGGGACTCCTTCTTTTCCACCCGGGTGGGGGACGGACGTCTGAGACAGGGGAGCTAGCCCTTTCATCCCCCTCAACAGAGACGTCCTGAGGGTATCTCCTTTAACCTCAGTCCAAATTAGAAAACAGGACTTTTAATTTTAGTATCTTTTTTCTTTTCTTTTTTTTTTTTTTTTGAGACAGAGCCTCAAGCTGTCCCCCTGGGCAGAGTGCCGTGGCATTACAGCTCACAGCAACCTCCAACTCCTGGGCTCTAGCGAGTCTCCTGCCTCAGCCTCCCAAGTAGCGGGGACCACAGGCGCCCGCCACAACGCCCGGCTATTTTTTGGTTGCAGCCGTCATTGTTGTTTGGCGGGTCCAGGCTGGGGATTCGAACCCGCCACCTTAGGTGTCCGTGGCTGGCGCCTTAGCCGGTTGAGCTATAGGCGCCAAGCCACTTTTTTTCTTTTTTGAGAGAGAGTGAGTGAGTCTCACTGTTGCCCTGGGTAAAGTGCTGTGGCGTCACAGCTCACAGCAACCTCAAACTCTAGGGCTTAAGCGATTCTCTGGTCTCAGCCTCCCGAGTAGCTGAAACTACAAGCATGGGCCACAACGCTCCGCTATTTTTAGACATGGGGTCTCCTTGCTCAAGCTGGTCACTAACTCCTGAGCTCAAGCAATCCACCCATCTGGGTCTCCCACAGTGGTAGGATTACAGGTGTGAGCCACCGAGCCTGGCCTTAATTTCAATATCTTAAAGAATTTAAATAATTTCCTCTAAAAAAAAAAAAAAAGGCAGATGGACCCAAATCCTCTATCTTTGGGCCTTTCTCTCCCTCTGCCCTTACCCCTCCATTTACAGATCATTGCTCCAACACCTCCCTCTCTATCTTCCTGGAGCTCCTAACCCGCCTCTTAAGTCTGAAGGCCCTCTGTCCTCTCCTCCCCGCAGATCCCGGGACTGCTCCCTGCTTCCTACCCACCCACCTCCCAACAGCTGCGCCCCTCCGCCCAGGGAGGATGGGGCTACAGACCTTCGGCTCCCGCCGCACGTGCTCCCTAGACCCCCACAACACAAGCCCCAGGCGGGGCGCGGGCGGGATGGGGTAGTTCAGACCTGCCGCCGCCTCGCCCTCCCCCCGCCCAGGGACTTCTCTCTCCCCCAGACAGACTTCCGCCCCTCCTCCCCTTCCCCAGTCCGCCTCTCCCTGGGTACACTCTCCTCTCTCCCACATACCAACTGCTCCTCTAAGATACTTCAGAGGTCAAAAAGTCCTGGTAAATCCCTCAAAACCAGAATAAAAATCCAGCCTTTTTTCCTATCTAAAAACCTTTCCAACTCCTTACTAATTTAACTCTTTTTTTTTTTCAGGTGGCATTTTTTTTTCATGAGTTAATTTTTATGTCCAAGCACAAGGATAATGAAATATTGAAGAGACCCCTCGAGTATGACCCGTCCCCCTTCCCCTGCTTCCTCATTCCATTAACGAAGAGACCCCTCGAGTATGACATATCCCCTGCTTCCTCGATCCCCCCCCCCGCGGTTTTAACGACGATCCCATCAACGACGATTCCATCAACGGCGATCCCATCAACGGCGATCCCATCAACGGCGATCTGCCAACGGCGATCTGCCAACGGCGATCCCACCAACGGCGATCTGCCAACGGCGATCCCATCAACGGCGATCTGCCAACGGCGATCTGCCAACGGCGATCCCATCAACGGCGATCTGCCAACGGCGATCCCCCGGCGGTTGTCGGGTATAAAAGCAGCCTGTAACAGCTCTTTCCGAGCGGCTGAGGGACCCTGACGCGTCAAAAATAAACTCGCCTCTTGCTTTTGCATCGACCCGAGTCCGGTGACTGCTTCCTCGGGGGTAGCTATATCAGCCGGACCCCGCATTGGGTCTAACAATATATTTTCTTTTCTTTTCTTTTCTTTTTTTTTCTGAGACAGAGCCTCAAGCTGTCCCCTGGGTAGAGTGCCATGGCATCACAGCTCACAGCAACCTCCAACTCCTGGGCTCAAG